AAGGGTCATAAAATTGGGGAGGGGGGGGGGGAGAGGAGAAAGGAGAACCACACTTTAACAAAAGGCCTGAGTTATATAATGGTCCTCAAGCTCCACTGTGGGCGTAACTCTCGACTCCTGACGAATGTACCTTTTCTTTTTACGTACACTGAGAGTATTTCCACCAAGACAAATTCCTTGTGTGTCCACTCACACTTGGCCAATAAAAAGTATTCTATTTCTATTCTGCATTCCATTATTCTATTCTATTTTCTATTCTATTCAAGGACTACCCATACAGGTGTGCACAGCCAGAACTGAAAATTCCCCACCCACCCAAGCCTACCCTTTCCCTCCCTTAGCTGCGTCCCATCGCTGTCCACACCGCCTCCTCCCCCCAAAACACGTCCAAAATCAAATTCAAACAAGATGTTTTTCAGGAGGGTCACTTCGAATTTGGTTCCCCTCCCACCCAGCCCTGCCCAAAGTCGTGTTCATGATGGCAGGTGAGACACACCCACCAAGGAAGAGCCCTGGGAAACGAGCGGCCCAAGGCAAGGCTCTCGTGTCGTGTCTCGGAGCCTTGTGTGTGTGTGTAGGGCGAAATGGGGGGGAAGAAACCCCCCCCCAGTATCTCCCTGTGCCCCCATTAAGAGTGGACTCTTAATGAGAAGATTAATATGTCCTTTTTTGAAAAATTCAATGAAATTAAAAAGGGGGGGAAAACCATGCAGAATCGGACTTATATATGCTATGTAGTCTTAAAGGGATTATTGAGTTTAATGTTTTAGGTAATAATGCTAAATGTTTAATGGGATTTAAAATGAATGAATATGTAACTTAAAGGTAGCGCACTTATATTGAGATTTCAAGGGGGGGAACCAATTTATAGAAATGGTCTTTTTTAAGTTTTTATTTTTGAAAGACAAACATATACAAATAAAACATAAAACCACCTTCCATTTTATATACATAGTGTGTCAGTTGGTTACAGATCTTTTGTGCTAGAAGGTTTTTTAACTAGAATTTAAGATGAAATATACAAATGTGACAATTAAAAGTACTAAAAATACTATCAAGGGAGACCGAGGGGAGCAAGTGGCCAGTTTTAAGTTTCTGGATGTTACCCTAAAAGAGGACCTGACCTGGGGGTGCTCGCATTGCAGCCCTGACCAAAAGGGCCCAGCAGAGATTATACTACCTGAGGCTTCTCAGAAAACAACTGAAATGAAAAACTGCTGGTGACCTTCTACCGCTGCACCAGAGAGAGCATTTTAACATACTGCATTTCTGTATGGTTTGCCAATTGCACAGTGGCAGATAGGACAGCCCTCCAGAGGGTTAATGTCACTGCCCAGAAGATCACGGGTTGCCCTCTCCCCTCTTTGGAAGAGCTTCACAGCTCCCGTTGCCTTAAGAAAGTTCAAAACCTCCTTAAAGATCCATCTCATCCTCAACAACCCCCCATTTTTTGAACTATTACTATCTGGCAGATGGTACAGGAAAATAAAAACAGGGACGAAGATTCAATTTATTATAGGGCTGGGATGCCTGGTATGAGTGGGTTAGAAATAAAAAGAAAATAAAATGGCAATTAGGAAAAGAATGTGGGAATATATAAATATACCATGGAGAAGATTGACATGTAAGGATAAAAGAATAAGTTAAAGGAATAAGTAAATACATATGCTGAAAAATGTGAGGAGATGCAAAAGATGTCTTGATGTTGATAACAGTGTATACAGTTTTATTTTATGTTTTTAAAATTTGGAAATTTAATAAAATTTATTTAAAAAAAAAAAACCAAGGACAAATAGGCTAAAAAACAAGCTTCTATCCCAGGGCAGAAGCTCTGTTGAAGTCTGCTGTATAGTGCAGTGTTGATCTGGTGTCAGGGGATTTTCGGTTCCATGGGTGAAGGGTGAAGGATGTGTGTTTGTGTTTTATTTTCATGGTCATGATGTGCACTGAAGACGGTGTTGGATTTCATTGTAGGAGGTGCAAGGACAATAAAACTAAACCAAAGTACAATAATTACGAAGTTAACGTAAGTGAATTCAGTAATGAGATAAGCACTTGGAATAACACGCTAAAATAGAAAATGTATAAAAGCATTGCTGAGATAAGAAACCGGATACAAAAACTGAACGTGTAACTAGGGTCATAGGTGAAACCTGTAATCGTGCCTGTTTCACTCAAGAGAGATGTTAAAATGTGGGAAACGGAATAAAACTTGTTTAGAAAAAGAGAGAGAGTGTACACTCACACAGGTATCTTCTGTTCAACATGTCGAAGACCCTCCCGGGAGTCCCCACAATGATATGGGGGGCTTCCATCTGCAGCTTCTGAACTTCGGCCCGGACGTTCGTCCCTCCTATGCAGGCGTGGCAGGAGGCCCCCATGTAGTCGCCAAGAGCCATTACCACCTTCTGGATCTGGGAGGAGGAGGAGGAGGAGGCCGTCAAGAGATGGGGTGGGGGGAGAGGAGGAGGAGGCTGGGCGTCCTCCAGGAAGCCTTCCCCTGTTTCCCCAGCATGAACCAGCCACCAGCCACTGGGAGAGACGCTGGGCTGGGATGAATGAGGAACAAGCTTGCTCTCTCCCTGCTAGATATAAGAAGGCGCCACGGCCAGAGGCTCTTCTTTGCCCAGTTAGCAGGGAGGGTGGTGGAGGGGGTTGCCACCAACTGGTGTGCAATTCAGATGGAGCGTTCCAAGCACACACCCCTCGGTCTCCCAACGGCTCTTTTGACACAACTGGGGACCTTTCCTGCATTCAAGGAAGGAAGCTGGGCAGGCAAAAAGAAAGGGAGGGAGGGAGGAGAGAGAGAGAGAGAGGAACAGAAAGAGGGAGAAAAAGGAAACAGAAATGGAGGGAAGAAAAAGATGAACAGGGAGAAAGAAAGAAAGAGGAAGGAAAGAAATGGAGAGAAAAACACACAGGGAGGAAGAGGAAATAAATAAATGGAAAGACACACAGTAAGAAAGCACGAAAGAGAGGAAGAGGAAAGAAATAAATGGAATGACGAACAGGGAGGGAGGGG